CTCTATAAGAAGGAACAGGACTCACTCGCTGGTTACTACTCCTAGGGCTTCCACATGAACCTGTGGCAATTGCTTTGTTAATTAGTATCAAGGACATCGTGCTGAGAAACCTGCTTTTTGGAACCCTAGAGCCTAACTTTTCAGTCTTTTTATCAAATACCTATATGATTACAGTAGTATAGACTCATTACACCTGAGGGCAATTCAATGATCAGTGTAAATATTTAAAATAATAAGTGTGGTAGACTGAAATAAAAATAAGGAATAAGAAAGGGTCAATAAGTAAGGGTCATCCCTCTATTGCCTACACAGGATCTGAGCCACATGGGCCATTTTTACACGGAGAAGTAGCCTCAATTTCCAACCTGATGCACAGCTTCATAGAAGAAGGTTTTGGATACACCATCCCACAGGGTCTAGAGTTGGCTTCTCAGGCCAGGCTAACATTAACCCTTTTTACACCAATCTTGCTCTGCTGTGCATCTCTCCAACCCAGTTCATTCAATTTCTCCCCATTCCACCAGTCTCCTCATCTGCTTGGTTGGCTGTCTCTTGGTTTCTCTGTTGACCCCTCTCTTTTGCCTCAACAGTGAATATGCCTAACTTTTTGTTGGCATTCTTCACCTGCTGGGCTCCATCATAAGAAAGTTTGCCTTAATACACTTGTAATCCCATCTCAGAACAAACAAACAACTATCTCTCAACCCCTCCCACAGTCTCTAGCATACAGTGCACATTATTTGTGGCTTGGAACTGATATTTTGGGTTCTGTTGTTTGTAAGAAACAATACCTCTTAATAACTCTACTGTCACTTTGATTATGAAAAACTCCCAACACATATAAGAGGAGAAACAATAGTATCATGAATCCATGGGAGTCCTTTTACTTGGCATGAAAAATTACTGAAATTTTCTAATCATGTTTCAATTCTTTTCCTTTTTGCTTCCTTTTTATGTTGGGATGCTTGTTGAAAAATCTAAGCTATCATACACTTTTATCCTAAATATCTAGTCTACATCCTAAGTTCCCCATGCTATCTCAAAAATAATTTTTTTAACTGGGTTTGTTTGAGTCAGGATCCAAACAAAATGCACATATTACTTTTAGCTATTATCCCACTTAAGTTTTGAGTCTTTTCTGCTGTAAATGCACCTCACCCTCACCTAGTTTTCCTGTCTCTTCCTTTTGAAGAAATTAGACAAATTGCCCTGTAAAATGTCCCACAGTTTGATTTGGTGGTGTTATATAACTTGTTCCTCTACCTTCTGTAATTCCTGTTAAACTAAAAGGTAGATCCAGAAGCTTTTTCAACCAGATGCACAGCTTCATAGAAAGAGGGTTTTTGGATACACCATCCCACAGGGTCCAGAGTTGCCTTCTCAGGCCAGGCTAACATTAACCCTTTTACACACAATCTTGCTCTGCTGTGCATCTCTCCAACCTAGTTCATTCAATTTCTCCCCATTCCACCAGTCTTCCCATCTGCTTGGTTGGCTGTCTCTTGGTTTCTCTGTTGACCCCTCTCTTTTGCCTCAACAGTGAATATGCCTAACTTTTTGTTGGCATTCTTCACCTGCTGGGCTCCATCATAAGAAAGTTTGCCTTAATACACTTGTAATCCCATCTCAGAACAAACAAACAACTATCTCTCAAACCCTCCCACAGTCTCTAGCATACAGTGCACATTATTTGTGGCTTGGAACTGATATTTTGGGTTCTGTTGTTTGTAAGAAACAATACCTCTTAATAACTCTACTGTCACTTTGATTATGAAAAACTCCCAACACATATAAGAGGAGAAACAATAGTATCATGAATCCATGGGAGTCCCTTTACTTGGCATGAAAAATTACTGAAATTTTCAATTCTTTTCTTTTTGCTTCCTTTTTATGTTGGAATGCTTGTTGAAAAATCTAAGCTATCATACACTTTTATCCTAAATATCTAGTCTACATCCTAAGTTCCCCATGCTATCTCAAAAATAATTTTTTAACTGTGGGTTTGTTTGAGTCAGGATCCAAACAAAATGCACATATTACTTTTAGCTATTATCCCACTTAAGTTTTGAGTCTTTTCTGCTGTAAATGCACCTCACCCTCACCTAGTTTTCCTGTCTCTTCCTTTTGAAGAAATTAGACAAATTGCCCTGTAAAATGTCCCACAGTTTGATTTGGTGGTGTTATATAACTTGTTCCTCTACCTTCTGTAATTCCTGTTAAACTAAAAGGTAGATCCAGAAGCTTGCTTAGATTTAGCTTAATTTCTTTTTCTTTCTTTCTTTCTTTCTTTCTTTCTTTCTTTCTTTCTTTCTTTTTTATTTCCTTAGGATATTTATTAACTCGTGAAATGTTATATATTTGATGTGTTTCAATCCAGTAACCCTGTCTTTTTTATGCTTAAATGGGATACCTTTCAGATGGGTGGTTGTCCCCTCTTAGTGCTAGTCACTAAGTTTGATCCGTGGGTGCTGTATTACATGCATGATCCATCCACTATATAGTCCCCATCAGCCTTCCACCTAATGGTTTTAGCATCAGTTGATGATTGTTGCCTCAATCATTATTTCTAATAAAAAATTATTTCTAATTAAAAAATTATTTCCTAATTCTATCCTTCTACTTTCATTACATTTATCTATAAAGAACTTTCTCCTATCAACTACTTGTATACCCTAATATAATGTTTACACAGAAAGAAAGATACATCTTTTCTATCTTGTATTAATTTATAGAATAAACAGTTGGTGCTCTGGTCATTTTATTTCCTTAGGATATTTATTAACTCATGAAATGTTATATATTTGATGTGTTTCAATCCAGTACCCCTGTCTTTTTTATGCTTAAATGGGATACCTTTCAGATGGGCCCGTTCATCCTTTTCACCTCATCACATAAGTTTTTAAAAATTTCTTGGCAGAACAAGATGTTCCAGGCTCATCTTACCATTTCTTGTTCCAGACCTAAGTTCCCCATGCTGGGCCACCCTCTCTAAGGAACCCCGGTGCCTGCAGGGTGCTCACTGCTAAAGTTGTTGGTATTGGGGAATTTTCATTTTAGGCATCATATAAAATCAAGTTCATTTTTATTTCAAATCAACAAGGTGAATCAAAATTAAATTACATTTATATAAAAAATTATTTCCTAATTCTATCCTTCTACTTTCATTACATTTATCTATAAAGAACTTTCTCCTATCAACTACTTGTATACCCTAATATAATGTTTACACAGAAAGAAAGATACATCTTTTCTATCTTGTATTAATTTATAGAATAAACAGTTGGTGCTCTGGTCATTTTATTTCCTTAGGATATTTATTAACTCATGAAATGTTATATATTTGATGTGTTTCAATCCAGTACCCCTGTCTTTTTTATGCTTAAATGGGATACCTTTCAGATGGGCCCGTTCATCCTTTTCACCTCATCACATAAGTTTTTAAAAATTTCTTGGCAGAACAAGATGTTCCAGGCTCATCTTACCATTTCTTGTTCCAGACCTAAGTTCCCCATGCTGGGCCACCCTCTCTAAGGAACCCCGGTGCCTGCAGGGTGCTCACTGCTAAAGTTGTTGGTATTGGGGAATTTTCATTTTAGGCATCATATAAAATCAAGTTCATTTTTATTTCAAATCAACAAGGTGAATCAAAATTAAATTACATTTATATGTCTTGATTCATAACTTTGATGCTTAAAGTGACTAATCATAAAGGCTCCATCAAGTGCATGAGCCAGCCTACAGGAAAAACCTGATGACCAAAAAGCTTCAAATCAGCTGACAAGATTCATGCCTTTTTACCAGGAAGGAGGCATAGAATAAGGTAAAGGTTTGTCTAACTAACCCCACATGGGCCGCTGCCCATGCCCAGGCTCATGCTATTATTCTCACTGACAGCACGGATGGGAGATTTGGACACCAGTGCAGACAGGTGTCTGGGCTTGCAGGAGCATCATTCATAAGCCTGAGTTACTAATGCCCTTGACATTCTCTGGGTACACAAGCAGGCAGTTCTCCTCTGCTAGTTATAAATATGTGTAGTTATACATCCATCCCTCTCAACCACCAGCCCAATGAATTTTCAGCCAAGGGAACAGACCTTTTGAACCAGCATTCAGAGAGAGACAACATAACCATGTTTACAGAGGGTCCCTAGAGCTCAGCCTTAGCAGCTGAGTTCTGCCCGATTTTGTTAGATCACGCTGATTTAATTAATGGAAGCTTTACACCTGCCCTGGCCAAAGCCACAGGTGGCCACCAAGCCCTTGCAATAAGGCTAGTACCACATGTTGAAACGCTGGTGTGAACATACGGAGTTAAATAAATATATTTTACAATTCATTTTACCGTGTTGTTTTACCCTCTTCGTGTGGTTACCAGAAAGTTTTCACTTAACTGTGTGTGTGTCTCACTACATTGAAGTTGGGCGTCTCTGCTCTAGGCTTAAAGCTGCTCTTTAAGTTACTCATCTTTTCCACGTCTGTTATCTGTCTTATACCAGACTGTCAGCTCCGCGGGGACACGGGTTCAAGCTGCATCTCCAGCGCT